TTACTGCAGAGTTTGTGGGGGGAAGCTATCCTTACAGCTAACCGAATACTCAACAGAGTACCCCACAGCAAAACGCAATCTATTCCATATGAAAAATGGAAAGGAAGAAAACCCAACTTGAAATATTTCAAAGTGTGGGGGTGTCTAGCAAAGGTACAAGTTCCTTTACCTAAAAGGGTTAAAATTGGACCAAAAACAGTAGATTGCGTTTTCATTGGATATACTACAAATAGTAAAGCATGTCGATTTTTGATTCATAAATCTGATAATCCCGAGATTCATGTTAATACGGTAATGGAATCAGATAATGCTGAATTCTTTGAAAGCATCTATCCGTATAAAACTGAAAGCGAGTCGTTAAGTGAAAAACCTAAACAACCTCGGGAAGAACCAAAGGAAAATACTCCAAGTATAGAAGATCCAAGGCGTAGCAAACTTCAAAGAACATCTACGTCCTTTGGACCAGATTTTGTGACATTCTTGCTTGAAAATGAGCCTCAAACTTTTAAAGCAGCTATGTCGTCTTCTGATTCAGCATTTTGGAAAGAGGTAGTCAATAGTGAGATTCAATCAATTTTGGATAATCATACATGGGAATTGGTTGATCTTCCTCCAGGAAATAAGCCTTTAGGTTCGAAATGGATCTTTAAACGGAAAATTAAAGCTGATGGCACTATTGACAAATATAAGGCAAGACTTGTTGTCAAAGGTTATAGACAAAAGGAAGGCCTTGATTACTTTGACACTTACTCGCCAGTAACGAGGATAACATCTATTAGGGTGTTAGTAGCACTAGCGGCCGTGTATGGTCTTGAAATCCATCAAATGGATGTTAAAACAGCTTTCCTAAATGGAGAATTGGAGGAAGAAATTTACATGGAACAACCTGAGGGTTTTGTGGTTCCTGGTAAAGAAAAGAAAGTGTGCAAACTTGTTAAGTCGCTTTATGGACTTAAACAAGCACCCAAACAATGGTATGCAAAATTTGACCAAACAATGTTGGCAAATGGATTTAAAATCAACGAGTGTGACAAATGTGTTTACATTAAAAATACTCCAGGTCATGAAGTCATTGTTTGTTTATATGTTGATGACATGTTGATAATAAGCAAAAGTATGGCAGATATAAATGCTACAAAACGCATGTTGGCTAGCAAATTCGACATGAAAGACTTAGGAGTTGCTGATGTGATCTTAGGAATCAGAATTCGCAAGACTCCACAAGGTCTAGCATTATCACAGTCTCACTACATTGAAAAGGTACTTGACAAGTTCAAGTATTTGGATTTCAAAATTGCTAAGACTCCAATTGACGTGAGTTATGCACTTCAAAAGAATGAAGGTGAAAGTGACTCACAACTGGACTATGCAAGAGTATTGGGAAGTTTGATGTATATCATGAATTGTACGCGACCAGATATAGCATGTGCTATTAGCAAACTGAGTCGGTTTACAAGTAATCCCAATCAAATACATTGGATGGCAATGAAACGAGTTTTGGGATATCTGAAACATACCCAAAATTATGCTTTGCATTATAACAAATATCCTTCCGTGATCGAGGGATATAGTGATGCAAATTGGATCACTGGATCATCTGAAGTTAAATCCACGAGTGGATATGTTTTCACAATTGGGGGTGGAGCAGTGTCTTGGAAATCATCCAAACAAACGTGCATCGCCCGTTCTACAATGGAATCTGAATTCATAGCTTTAGATAAGGCCGGTGAGGAAGCTGAATGGCTCCGGAATTTCTTGGAAGATATTCCATTTTGGCCCAAACCTTTGGCACCTATATGTATACATTGTGATAGTCAAGCGGCAATAGGTAGGGCAGGGAGCGTTATGTATAACGGAAAATCTCGTCATATCCGACGGAGACACAATACCGTTAGACAACTACTCTCTAGTGGTGTTATCACAATTGACTACGTAAAGTCAAGAGATAACGTGTCGGATCCATTTACAAAAGGCCTATCTAGAGAGGCAGTTGAAAGATCATCAAAGGGAATGGGGTTAAAGGCCTAGGACAAGTCATCATGGCGGTAACTCTACCTAGCAGACTGGAGATCCCAAGAGCTAGGTTCAAAGAGATCAAACAAAGTTATGAATGACGGTTCAACATTGTCAACTAACTCAACCCATTCTCGTGATGAAGACAATTTTCAAAAACGAGGTAAAGCATTAAGGCTTTTTTGATGAGTCAATAAAGCTTAAAGCTTTTTAATGATTTGCTAAGTCTGGCAGGATATGACCAGATAGTGTGTCTTTAGGATTACACGTTTAGGAATCACCTATGTGAGTGTGAAGTGTAAGCCGCTTCAAGGAGAATGAAAGTAAAGGCCCATTCTCTAAGCACTCATGAAACCAGGCGGTGTTCATGGCTGAAACGAACACAACCGTGAGAACCATATACGGTTAAGGATTGATTTTGTGACTTATGTTGTCTAGGTATACAACAAAGCTCGACGGTTCAAAGATATCAAATCTACCGATTGACCGAGTATATCCGATATAAGTTCACTACGGAAAGTTCAAAGGGAAACCTACTTATCCAGATGCAATCAATTCTTGTTTGTAAAACACACACACGTCCGTGCATTCCTTTAAGTTTATAGCCATTCCCCATTCATGTGGGGATTGTTGGGTTTGTTATTTAATAAATAATAACAAAAGAGGTGTGAATGGAAAATGGTGGAAAAAGAAATGGAGGGATGACCCGCGACCCGGTCCGGTCTAGCCCGTTTTTCTTTCCCGGATTAATTTAAATTCGTTTTAAATTTCCCGCAAAAAATTTCCAACAGCCATGACTATTCTGAAAGGTTGCATACCTCTTCAGAGGGTCACACCTGTTCCAACAATCATGACTATTCTGAAAGGTTGCAAACCTCTTCAGAGGGTCACACTTGTTCCAACAGTCATGACTATTCTGAAAGGTTGCAAACCTCTTCAGAAACATCACCAAGTTGGCTATAAATAGACCTTCAAATCCCAGAATATTTACTTACGAAATTTTCTGATTATCTTCTTCTTCTTCTGCACTAAAATTCCAGTGTGTTTTGCTGCCATCGAGTGGTTCGCTGATCATCGGCATTTTTGGTACCAACACTCCGGTGAGTTAAATCGTTCTATCCTGGGAGGATATATTCCATAACCTCGGGTACTTGAGGGGAATAATTTCCTTAAGGACACACTGTGTATTCAGTGGGCTCGATTTGTTCCTTCAACGTTTCAAAAATCATTTTGAAGTTCGAATATTATTTTTCAGAATTGTTTCTACTAACTTTCTGTTTTATTTTTCAGAAAGATTACTGTTTTATTTACTTACAGCAATACAGATAAATAACAACTAGTAATGATGTGGCGTCCTAGCTATGTGTAGGAGATTGTATTACACGCACTGGTAACCTCCTGTCATAAGCATTTATTATACACGATTTGAACGAGTATAAGTGTTCAATTGGCAAAGTGATAAATTTGGGGACCGGCATGACAAAGTGGCACAAGTATAAGTGCCGTTTAGACTATTATGCCTTAATGAAATCTTCAATCACGTCTGATTTTGCAAGTTAACAGTTGTACCAAATTTACTCAACTAGTGTGACAAATATTGAAATAGTTAGCATTCTGTTATAATTCCCTCCGAAAAACAAAGAGCATATCTTGAAAGAAAGAAAATTCCATAGGCAGTCCAATGATTATTTAAAAATCCAAAAAAAAAAAAAAAACGTGGTGAGAAACAGTTGAGCTACCAGTATAGCTTGAGATTAGAAACTCATACTAGCTCGGTATGAATATTTGGTGGACGAACTTTCACTTTTTGACCTCTCATTAATTTACAGCTTTTTATTCTCCATCAATGAAATGAAAGTTTGTGCTTAATTAACTTCAAATTCAATAAGGTTGGATATTTCCAAATTCAATGTTTTCATAAATGGAAACTGCCGAGCAGCTAGCAGTTGGTAATTTTTACACGAAAACACTACATTAACTAGTGGTATTAAAACTCAATTTAATGAATTCATTTAAGTCATAATTAAGTGTGATATAATTAATCTAAGCACTTTAATTAGGTACAGCTATTTAGTTGGGTTGCAAAGCTGCTAGTCAACCATTTTTACATCCACTATGTTTCCTGAAAGATTTAAAAAAAAAAAAAACTAAAGAAAGAAATAAATGCTTGTCTATTTAAAAGCCAGAACTCTCAAAATTAAATTTCTTGAAAGTCTAAGTTGGCATGAACATTCCATTTGCGTAGGCTATCAATTACCCATGTCTGCAAATAGTGGCGGAGCTAAGATTTTCATTATAGGTATCAAAATATAAAAAAAATAAACACACAAATAAATTAAAAAAAGTTAATGCATAGTAACATATACATATAAAAAATATTTACCGAGCTACACAATATAATTTTTCCGATAAAGGGTGTCTTGGATAAGGTGGCTCCGTCACTGTCTGCAAAACTTGACACATAGGAGGGCCAAAAATAAAATGATTATAAAACTAAAGAATAAAAAAAAGAAAGGAAAATAAAAAGACACAACAGTGTGCATAGATAAGGAGCAATTTATAATCAAGCTGACGAGAGAGTTGAATCAAAATCTTCGATTTGCATGTTGTGAAACACAAATCCTACTGCTTCAATATGAAGAAACTAATTATTCAATTAATGACACAGAACTTTCCACGTGGCCCTAACAAATGGCCACAAATAATATGCCACGTGTATTATATAGTTTACTAATCCTGTCATCTATGCCTAAAAGTGATCCAAGTAACCTAATAATGAGGTGGATACATGGACCCCACTCGAATTATATCTAAAAAATGTTAGTAGAAAAATTAAATTAGTTGGTAGAGTTAAGTAACCAATCTTTGCATGTAAACGTGGCGTATTGCCCTAGCATTCCACGTAAAATATATCCACCTTATAAAATTAATGTAAATTGGGCTTATAGCTATAAATAAGGGTTTTCTATGCATTAAACGGTAGTTATAAACAGATGAACAAACTCATTCTCATATTAGAGCATAGTCAAAAAAACGTTCACTATACAAAACCTACAATCCTTATATTCACTACGCTTCTACTCAACCAAAACCATTTCTTGATTTCAAACTTTTCTCAAAAAAAAAAAAAAAAAAAATTAATACCAAAAGGTTTGAAGATCATCGAATAGTTAGAAAGTTAAAAATGGAGTCTGTTGTTTCTGAGCTCGAAGGAATTCTCTTGAAAAATCCTGATCCTTTTAGTTACTTCATGTTAATGGCTTTCGAGGCATCGGGGCTAATTCGATTTGCTATATTGCTAATGTTATGGCCAATAATTCGAGTTCTCGAGCTATGTGGAAAAGGAGATGTTGGATTAAAAGTTACTATATTTGTTGCCACTGTAGGAGTAAGAATATCTGAGATTGAAGCAGTGGCTAGGGCTGTTTTACCTAAGTTTTACTTTGATGATATTAATATGGAGGCTTGGAAGATATTCAGCTCATTTGATAAGAGATTTGTGGTTACAAAAACTCCAAGAATTATGGTGGAGAGATTTGTGAAAGAACATTTACGAGCTGATGATGTTTTTGGTACTGAACTTGTTGTTAGCAAATCTGGTTTTGCCACGGGGTTTATTAAGAATGAGTTTGACTCGATTTCAGATCGGATTGCTGCATTATTTGGTGATGAACAACCTAGCTTAGGCCTTGGTTGTTCTAGATTCCTCTCTTTGTGCAAGGTAAGTAATAAAAAAATTCTAGTAGTAGTACTTATATTTACCAAATATTACTATATCTCAAACCGAATGATCGAAAATGATCTTTTCTTTTAATGCTAGCTAGCATTGGTCATGTAATTAATATAGGATTTAACTTGAACAACTTTTTATACTAGTTGTGTAATTAACCTATTATTATAGGTTACCCTACCTTATTCTTGCATTTACTAATTCATTTATCATGGGCACTTATCTATTTTTATATTTTAGGTAACTTGATTGGATAAAGTTTTTAACACTATTACATAGAAGTTAAACTCGTAAATATACTGTTAAAGGATTGATGTAACTTAATCATATAGGAGTACTATATTGACAATAAAGAAAGTTTATATACTAACAAGTATCTTAACATGTTATAGCGCGTAAGTTGTCTTATTTTTTAAATCAGTAATCTTGCAGTACTTTTTATGAACGGTTACCTAGTTAACCTTTAAATGAACTAATAATGAAAATATTCTTAGTTACAAGTTAAACTGATCATTGTTTAAAATGTTGCATGTAACAGGAACAATTACAACCACCATTCTTGAGCACCAAAAATGAGGACCACCACCAGAATATTATCAAACCAATACCAGTAATTTTCCATGACGGTCGTCTTGTTATTCGTCCAACACCATTTTCAGCTCTTCTAATCCTTCTATGGATTCCACTTGGCATTATATTGGCTATTATTCGAATTTCCATTGGCTTAATATTTCCATTTTGGATAGTTCCCTATTTAACTCCTTTATTTGGTGGAAAAATCATTGTTAAAGGAAAACCACCACCACCAGCTTCAACCACCAACTCGGGCGTGCTATTTGTATGCACTCACCGTACTCTCATGGACCCTGTCGTCCTGTCCACCGTCCTTCAACGTAAAATCCCAGCAGTAACTTACTCAATCTCCCGATTTACCGAAATTTTATCACCAATACCAACAATCGGTTTGACAAGAATTCGAGATATAGACGCTCAAAAAATCAAACGTCAACTTGAAAAAGGAGATTTAGCCGTTTGTCCCGAAGGAACAACATGTAGGGAACCATTTTTATTAAGATTTAGTGCTCTTTTTGCAGAATTAACCGATCGTATAGTCCCGGTGGCTATGAATTATAGGGTTGGTTTTTTTCATGCAACAACAGCTAGGGGATGGAAAGCAATGGATCCAATTTTCTTTTTTATGAACCCTAGACCAGTGTACGAGGTAACATTCTTAAATCAGTTGCCAATGGAAGCCACATGTTCATCTGGGAAAAGTCCACATGATGTTGCAAATTATGTTCAAAGGATTTTGGCCGCAACATTAGGGTTTGAGTGTACAAATTTTACAAGGAAAGATAAGTACAGAATTCTCGCTGGTAATGATGGAATTGTATCACAAAATTCCAGCACTAATTATGGGATTAAGAAATTGTTAAGCACGTTTCTGCATGTGGTGGGCATAAGAAAGAAGATGATTATGAGCTTGTTTTAGTGATATTTTTACTTTGTGTAAGATTTAAGTGTCATTCTTTTAATTATTTTTTCCCCCGGAAGTGTTGAATAATGTACATTATTGCTACTGCTAGTGTGTAATTATTTTTAACTATTTTCATTAAGAGAGAGATTTTGTAATGTTTTTCTTTTTTGATCAATTGATGTTGCTATGTTTTCATAAATAAGTTTTTGTTCCCTATTTAATTAGGCTTCATCATCTTGCAATTCGATCTAATAATGCAAGTCAAATTAAAGTAGTCAAAGAGTTTATTATGTATCAACCTAGCTAGCTAGCATTCACTGTGACAATTCGTTCTAGTAATTAAAAGTGAACGGAAGGAGTAATACATGTTTGAATAGATTTTTTTTTTTATTGACGGTTTCATTTTTTATACTCGCACGGTAATATTTCCTTTTTTTTTTTGGTCAAGAAAGATAAAGCTTATATTAGATAGCAAAAATGATTACATGGAGCTAGTAGCAATAGAACTGCTGCGCACCAGAGTTACATTATTTCTACATAATGCTGCTGTGGGATTCCCATTGGGACCCCCACTAGGGTTATCCATCATGGATCAAAACTATGCCTAACACTAGTCATTGCTTGTGGTGGATTTACAGTGGTTGAGGTAGTGTGATGATAAAAAAGACAAGCATTGACAAGGCGTTTAGTAGCTACTCCTTGTAGGTCCGCTTGGTACGCGTCCATTGCAAATGGTGGGGCGATTCCAGGAGCAGCATCGTTGTATCTACGAGTGTATAGTCCCATGTTTTGCTAGTTGGTCATCGACCATATTTTGCTCCCTGTAAACATGTTATATTAGAGGCTCATTCAGCGTGCTGAGCAAGTATCTGCAATTAGTAAGAAAGGGAGATGAGGTAGAGTTCGCATTTGAAATTAAAGACAGTACAGTTGTATCATCCACATTGATTTTTAGAGGACGGAAGTTTTAGTGATCCGCGAGTTGCAATCCTCTTAAGAGGGCTAACAGTTCCATTTTAATGCTTGAGCCGTAAAGAGAATGTCCAGCAAACTGAGTAACCAAGTGCCTTCAGTGTTACGAAAGATCCCACCAAAGCCATTTGAGTTGTTATGTGAGGTAGAGGCCCCATCAGTGTGTAGTGGAAAGACTCCTGCCATTTCACATACATCGGGATTTTGGATTTATGTTTTGGGGTGTGTTTTGTGAGGTAGAATATTTTTGATGCTCTAGCTATGATAGTGTGATAATTTGGAAGTTGGCGTAGATTATTTTCACGACCCAAGTTTCTCTCCGTAAACTGTCGTGACGGCACCTAGTATCTACGACTAGGTAAGCCTAACAATTGCAGAAAATGAAATGAAAACATTAAAGCTAAAAACTAACAGGAAGTTTTAAATAAGAAATTAAGATGCCGCTCAACATATACAATAATCACTCTCGAATGTACATAAACTCTCCAAAAATCCGGAATATCGTAAGTCAAAAACTACAGAAAAGAAACAGTGTGGCTATACTCCAAAGTCTAATCAAAGGAATAACAGGAAGTGTTTGACAGGGGAAAGAGTAGAAAGGGACTCCGAGGATCTGCGGACGCGGCAGATATACCTTGAAGTCTCTACAACGATCTCGCCTCACGGATAATGCGGTTGATAAGTGGTACCTGGATCTACACGCGAAAAATATGTGCAGGGAAGGGCATGAGTACACCACAATGGTACCCAGTAAGTGCCAAGCCTAACCTCGGTCGAGTAGTGACGAGATCAGGTCAGGGCCCTACTGGTATATATATAATAAAAATATAACAGAATGAAATATCACAATAAGAACAAATACGGAAATTTAACAAGAATGTAAGCATAGAAGAACAACAGCTCAGGAAACAGAGATAACAACAGGGGATCTCCCAAGATACCGTCCCGTAGTCCCAAACGTAAATGTGCAGGGGGATCTCCCGGAATACCGTTCCGTAGTCCCAAAGTAAATATACAGTGCTGGGGGATCTCCCGAAATACCGTTCCGTAGTCCCAAAGTAAATATGAAGTGCAGGGGGGATCTCCTGAAATACCGATCTGTAATCCTAAAGTAAATATGCAGCTCAAACAATAGAATTTCAACTACGACACGGAATCCTACCATTTAGACTAAGTACCGGTCAATGAAAAAGCAGGATATTCACTAAGCATGCTGCACAGAGTTCAGATAAGCAATTAAGACACGTAGACATGCTGTTCTAAACTAAGCAGGATAATTAGATATGCTAGTGTAGATCAGTTAAAGGAAAACAAATATTTTACTTAATGAAAACGGAGTTTTTCCAACAAATAGCCCGTGTACGCACTCGTCACTACATACATGGCGCTCATATATCAACCTCCCCAACTCACCGCAACACCTCAAATGGACCAATGAACCTTGGGCTCAGCTTGCCCTTCTTTCCGAACCTCATGACGCCCTTCATAAGTGACACCCAAAGCAAGACCCGCACTCCAACCATGAATGCAACATCGCGAACCTTCCGGTCCGCATAACTCTTCTGTCTGGACTAGGCTGTGCGAAGTCTATCCTGAATCACCTTAACCTTCTCCAATGCATCCTGAACCATGTCCGTACCCAATAATCTGGCCTCGCTTGGCTCGAACCAACCCATTGGCGACCGCCTACCATACAGAGCCTCATATGGTGCCATTTGAATGCTGGACGGATAACTGTTGTTGTAGGCATACTCCGCAACGGGCAAGAACTGATCCTAAGAACCCCCAAACTCCATCACACATGCACGGAGCATATCCTCAAGAATCTGAATAGTGCGCTCGGACAGCCCGTCCGTCTGAGGGTGAAATGTTGTGCTCAGCTCCACCCGAGTACTCAACTCATGCTGTACGGCTCTCTAGAACCGTGATTTAAACCGCGTACCCCGGTCAGAGATGATAGATACCGACAATCCATGAAGTTTGACAATCTCGCGGATATAAACTCGAGCCAGCTGCTCGGAAGAATAGGTAGTCATCACAGGAAGGAAATGAGCTGACTTGGTCAGCCTATCCACGATCACTCAAACTGCGTCAAACTTTTGTTGAGTCCGTGAGAGCCTAACAACGAAATCCATAGTGATCCGCTCCCATTTTCACTCCAGAATCTCTAACTTTTGAAGCAATCCACCCGGCCGCTGATGCTCATACTTCACCTAATGGCAATTTAGACACCGGGCCACATATTCCACTATGTCCTTCTTCATTCTACGCCACCAATAATGCTGCCTCAAGTCCTGATACATCTTGTGGCACCCGGATGAATGGAGTACCGCGAGCTGTGAGTGTTGATAACCAATTTTTCTCTCATATTTTAAATATATATACATATACTTTCAGAATAGGGCATATGCATCATCATTTGATTTATAAGCATACACAAATATTTTTATAATTTTTAAAGAGTTTAAACCAATTTATTCCTATATTTTATTATATATAAATATCCAATAATTATCCTCCAAATTATTTTATAATAATTTAATCATCTTAACTTATCATTTATACCAACATGAGGTTTTAAATATTTCATTACATTTTTATAATTAATTTTTTGCATTTTTTAGGCTAATTGCACACTTTTGCAATAATGGCCCATATGCATGTATAATTACATTAGTTATGCAGAAAATGACTTTCTATATTTTTATAATGTTAAGTAATTATTTTAAATCATTTTAGTACACAAATGATATTTTTATTATTTATTAGATACTTTTATAAATTATTTATTTATTAAATATTGGGTATTTAAAATTTAGCCTAAATTCCTACCCAAATTCGGACCTAAAACTACCCTTACATCAGCCCAATACCCCAAATCCCATCAGCCCAGTCCCCTTACCCATTTTAATACCCGACCCAGGACCCCTTAAATCAAGACCGTTGATCTCTAATATCAACGGTCCACGTTACACTGCCCCTTTAAACCTAACCGAATCTAAACCCTAAATCATTCTTCACCACCCCACCGCCCTGAAACCCTCTCGTCTTTCACCTCTCACAGAAAACCCTAGTCGCTCTCAAAAAACTCGCCGAATTCGTCTCAATCATGGATTTTTCCATGATTTTCTTACCTTTTGTATGTTATACTGCCATCTCCTACGAATCTATACTATCTCCTAGTACTTGCCTAAACATGGAATGTACCCTATCCCAGATTCCGGCCATTTTCCTTTTGACCGCTTGAATTTGGACATGAATCTCGTCCATATACTTCACGATCTTGGCTATATGGGCTCGATTAGCCGAGATTTTTGGCCAATCTTCGACTCCTGTCAACTAGGGTTTGAACCTCCCTTTGTTCCTTACCGATTCTCAACTGATACTTTCCCTTTTCTGTGTTTGACTACTCTTTTCTTTAGGTTTTCCTTTTTCTGCTTTACTCTTTGCCTTGAAAAACGATTTTGGTATTATTAGGTGTTTTCTCTGTTGATTTACTGAACCCCTTTGATTTGTGCCCTAAAATCGATTCTAATTGATTCCTGAATATTTTTTTTCCTTATTTGTGTTTGAACGATTTGTTTGCCATGTTTACTTGCTCGATTTCTACACTATATAAACCCCTCCCCATTCCCCTTTAGAACAGACTTGGAAATCATTATAACCTCACTAAATCTAAAGCTTTACTTTGTTATTTCATTCTATACTCTGGTCTTGGCCGGCTGAAAGCCAAGGCCATTAAGTTCTTGGTTTCTGCTTCTCATTGACGATCTAGAACACTGTGGGCTTTGTTCTTTTCTTGCATTTCTCGCTTAACTGGTGAGTCACTTAACTTCCGCAATTCAATTCTTACATATCCCTAATTTTTATATATTATCATTGCTGAATCCATGATCCAATATGCATACGAGTGATGTTCAGGCGTTATCTTTGTTAGTTGTGTATGTCTTGGTCTCTTTAACACTTGTTTGCTCCTAACGTTACTTGTTCTGAAGTTATTTGAACTACTTTAGGGCCTATTCAGTTAGTGTATTGACTCTTGAATGCCCATGAACATGTTTATTCACCCATCTCCCTGAATCCGGGCAGTAGTCTGTGTTGAGACTTTCAGTGTTAATCATTATGGCCCTCAACATGCTTATTTGATCCCATACCCCTTTAGTATCTGCTTGTGATTTAGAACAGTTATCTCAGCATGTTTTG